TTTTCAGAGTATATCTTCGTGTTTGCACTGATTTTGCTTTTGTAATGCATACCTCGCTGATAACGATGTCTTCTGGCTTTTCTTCTTTAGGTTCTTTACCCTAAAATAATATTATGGGGAACTGTTTTCTATTTGAAAAATTGTTATATGTGAGAGAGGCGCAAAGTAAAAAGGCTTCAACTGGCATTTGGTGTTAGACATGAAAAACAAATTAGCAATACTGCGCTTCAGTTGAAATAAGTTTGAGGAACATCGTTTGAATTTTGCTTTTGTAATGCCTACCTTGCCGTTGACGATGCCTCCTGGCTTTTCTTCTTTAGGCTCGTCGTCCTAAAATATTATAAGGAATATTTCCTTTCCATTTGAAATTTTTGTTTTACTTAAGACAAGCCCGAGGTAAAAAGGTTTCTCCTAAAATTTGGTGTCACGCATAAAAAAAGTCAACAACGTTGCGCTTTCGTTAAAATACATTTGAGGGACATTGTTTTTTGAACTGATTTTGATTGGGTAACGCTTACCTCGCCGTTAACGATGTCTTCTGGCTTTTCTTCTTTAGGCTCTTTACCCTAAAATAATATTATGAGAAATTGTTTTCTATTTGAAAATTTGTTATATGTGAGAGAGGCGCAAAGTAAAAAGGCTTCAACTGGCATTTGGTGTTAAACATGAAAAACAAATTAGCAACACTGCGCTTCAGTTGAAATAAGTTTAGGGAACATTTTTTGAATTTTGCTTTTGTAATGCATACCTCGCTAATAACGATGTCTTCTGGCTTTTCTTCTTTAGGCTCTTTACCCTAAAATATTATGAGGATTATTTTTTTTCGTTTGAAATTTTCGTTTTATGTAGGAGAAACGCCAGGTAAAAATGTTTCTCCTGAAATTTGATGTTACGCATAAAAACAAATTAGCAACACTGCGCTTCCGTTACAATAAATTTAAGGAACATTGCTTAAATTGTTTTCAGAGTATATCTTCGTGTTTGCACTGATTTTGCTTTTGTAATGCATACCTCGCTGATAACGATGTCTTCTGGCTTTTCTTCTTTAGGCTCTTTACCCTAAAATAATATTATGAGGAATTGTTTTCTATTTGAAAATTTGTTATATGTGAGAGAGGCGCAAAGTAAAAAGGCTTCAACTGGCATTTGGTGTTAAACATGAAAAACAAATTAGCAATACTGCGCTTCAGTTGAAATAAGTTTGAGGAACATTGTTTGAATTTTGCTTTTGTAATGCATACCTCGCTGATAACGATGTCTTCTGGCTTAGGTTCTTCACCCTAAAATATTATGAAGATTATTTCTTTTCCATTTGAAATTTTTGTTTTATGTGGGAGAAACGCCAGGTAAAAAGGTTTTTCCTAAAATTTGATTTTACGCATAAAAACAAGTTAGCAACACTGTGCTCCAGTTGAAAAAAGTTTAAGGAACACTGTTCAAATTGTTCAGAATATATCTTCGTGTTTGCACTGATTTTGATTGGGTAACGCCTACCTCGCCGTTAAAGTTGTCCTCTGGCTTGTGTTCTTCAGGCTTTTCACCCTAAAATAATATTATGAGGAACTGTTTTCTATTTGAAAATTTGTTATATGTGAGAGAGGCGCAAAGTGAAAAGGCTTCAACTGGCATTTGGTGTTAGACATGAAAAACAAATTAGCAATACTGCGCTTCAGTTGAAATAAGTTTGAGGAACATTGTTTAAATTTTGCTTTTGTAATGCCTACCTCGCCGTTGACGATGCCTTTTGGCTTTTCTTCTTTAGGTTCGTCGTCCTAAAATATTATAAGGAATATTTCCTTTCCATTTGAAATTTTTGTTTTACTTAAGACAAGCCCGAGGTAAAAAGGTTTCTCCTAAAATTTGGTGTCACGCATAAAAAAAGTCAACAACGTTGTGCTTTCGTTGAAATACATTTGAGGGACATTGTTTTTTGAACTGATTTCGATTGGGTAACGCTTACCTCGCCGTTAACGATGTCCTCTTGCTTTTCTTCTTTAGGCTCGTCACCCTAAAATATCAGGTTGTCCCATAAGTTCCGTCCGTTTGAAATTTCAATCGCAATAAGTCATGAACTTCTTGGTTTTAGACAGGTTCCAAGGTACCATTTGATAGAGCAAAGCAAGCTCTACAAGATGCGCTTCTCACTTTCGCACCAGTTCAAATCCATCTCGAGTTTGAAGCCAAAAACCAAAAAGATCCAACCGCCCGAAAAATAAAGAAAAAATCGTAACTCCGTTCAGAAAATTCCTAGAAAATCCTAACTTGCTCACAGATACCCTATCTACATCAGACATTTACATATACTGTTGCTGTATTTTTTCCTCAAATAGAAATCGAGAAAACGAAAATTTTCATGTTCTTGCCAAAGTGATGCTGTGCCGTTCTCACACTAGTAGTTTTATACTACAGACCAGTACAAGTACAGACAAAAATTTTCAGCGCTCTACAGGCTTTAGTTCTCGAGAAATAATCGTTTTCAGACGGAACACCCGACTGTACGAAGCTAAATTCAATGTTTCTCGAGAACTAAAGCCTGTAGAGCGCTGAAAATTTTTGTCTGTACTTGTACTGGTCTGTAGTATAAAACTACTAATGTGAGAACGGCACAGCATCACTTTGGCAAGAACATGAAAATTTTCGTTTTCTCGATTTCTATTTGAGGAAAAAATACAGTAACAGTATATATAAATGTCTGATATGAATAGGGTATCTGTGAGCAAATTAGGATTTTTCTAGGATTTTTCTAAACGGAGTTGCGAACTTTCTTTATTTTTCGGGCGGTTGGATCTTTTTGGTTTTTTGCTTCAAACTCGAGATGGATTTGAACTGATGCGAGAATGAGAAGCGCATCTTGTAGAGCTTGCTTTGCTCTATCAAATGGTATCTTGGAACCTGTCTATAACCAAGATGTTCATGACTTATTGCGATTGAAAGTTTAAACGGACGGACTTATGGGACAACCTGATATAAGGTAGGTGCAAAAGTTCTTGCGCCGGATTTTCAGAAAATCATAACTTCCTTTCTTCTTAATGATTTTTCTCAAAGTTATTTTGTATGAAACAAAAAAACTCTTCTTTATAGTGGTGCCTTTGCCATGAATTAGCGTTGGTAAGTTCGAGAGTTAAAAGCAAATGAAGAAAATTATTCAAGATCGACATTTTTCAAGCTGGATCACGAAAAATTCTGGAAGTGCTTTTATTTAATAGACAAAATTTTGCAGATTACGGTGGTACCTTTTTCATGAATTAAAACGAAGTAGATCAAGAGTTAGAAGCAATTAAAGAGAATTTCTTCACTTTTGCAATTTTTGAGCATGCTCAAAAAAGCTTGAAACGTCACAGAAAAGGCGAAAAAGTCATAAACATGGGTTTTGCGATCTTCCCCTTCTAGCTGAGCGGGAAGCGTGCCAATCGGGAGCAATTGTCATTTTCGTAATTTATCCGGATTTTCGGGTCTGCGTTTTTCACGAAAATGGAAATTGCTCCCGATTGGCACGATTCCCGCTTAGCTAGAAAGGGAAGATCGCAAAACCCATGATTATGACTTTTTCGCCTTTTCCGTGACGTTTTCATGCTTTTTTGAGCATGCTTAAAAATTGCAAAAGTGAAGAAATTTTCTTTATTTGCTTCTAAATCTCGATCTTTTTCGTTTTAATTCATGGGAAAAGTATAGTAGTAAAAGCAATATTTTCTCCATCGAATAAAAATGCTACCAGAATTTTTCGAGACCCTGCTTGAATAAAGCCAATCTTGAGTACTTTCCTTCAATTGCTTTTAACTCTCGAACTCAACAACGCTAATTCATGGCAAAGGCAATGCTATAAAGAAAAAGGATTCTTCTTTCATATAAAAATAATCTTGAGAAAAATCGCTTAGAAGAAAGGAAGTTATGATTTTTTGAAAATCCGGCGCAAGAACTTTTGCACCCACCTAATATTAGGTTGATTCATAATTAATGCACGTTTTTCACACCTCTTCTTCCAAGAGCTGGTATTTGATGTGTAACCAATTTTCTTAGAAACTTTTTATGCTATCTAAAAGAGCGTTTCTTATAGTTTCTTATGCGGGCCTCCGCTTTCGTATGTCTCCATTCATTCCAAAGTTCTGAGCCTTCAAATAAAAGAGACTAAATTCCAAATTTTTTGCTTGTCACTCTTTTTACCCTAAATCCATGAGGAATAGTCGTATCAATTTCAAAAAATATGCATAAGGATTAAAAAACTTTGTGCTACAAGATGCTATTCCAACAAAATTTTCCATGGATTTTGAGCCGAGAAATTCAATTGCGAACTTGAATGATCGTCGCGGCCCTTCCGTGCCATATAAAACTTTGAAGCAAAAGGCGATTGCAGGTCTTTTGCATTATCCAGCAAGATTAGACCTAGTTTATTTTATGGTAGAAAAGCGTTAGGGTTTTCTCACTTTCTAGCGGAGAAAAATGAAATAATTTCAGAAATGACCGATTTTTGAACCCGCCGAGATGCCATAAAAAAGCGAGTACTTTCGACTTTTTCGCTATATTTTCTCTCAAATATTTTCCGTAAAGTCCAAACTTGGCATTACCGCTCAAGAGACACTTGGCTACCAATGAGCAAAGTCCGCTTTATCTTACTTCATTTCATCATAAGTTATGCTCTCTCAAAGTAGAGGGTTCTGAAAAAAATTGTTGGCAATCTTCAGGCCAGAAAGTCTTTCTTTTAATAGATACAGTCACCAAAAGTACCAGTTTTATAGCCACTGATTCAAAGGTTACAGAGGTTTTTATTTCGCCCAAAAATGTCTTTTCAAAAAGAATTATCGCGGTTGAAAGTTGAAGTATAGAAAACGTGCACTAATTATGAATCAACCTAATATTATGAAGAATATTTCTTTTCCATTTGAAATTTTTGTTTTATGTGGGAGAAACGCCAGGTTAAAAGGCTTTTCCTAAAACTTGATCTTACGCATGAAAACAAATTGGCAACACTGTGCTTCAGTTGAAATAAGTTTAAGGAACATTTCTTAAATTGTTTTCAGAGTATATCTTCGTGTTTGCACTGATTTTGCTTGGGTAACGCTTACCTCGCCGTTAGCGTTGTCCTCTGGCTTGTGTTCCCCATGCTTGTCACCCTAAAATAATATTATGTAAAGTTGTTTTCTATCTGAAAAATCGTTATATGTGAGAGAGGCGCAAAGTAAAAAGGCTTTTACTGGCATTTGGTGTTACGCATAAAAACAAGTTAGCAACACTGTGATTCAGTTAAAGTAATTTCAAGGAACATTGTTCAAATTGTTTTCGGAGCATATTTTCGTGTTTGCACTGATTTTGATCGGGTAACGCCTACCTCACCGTTAAAGTTGTCCTCAGGCTTTTCTTTTTTAGGCTCGTCACCCTAAAATATTATGAAGATTATTTCTTTTCCTTTTATGTGGGAGAAATTCCAGGTAAAAAGTTTTTCCTAAAATTTGATTTTACGCATAAAAACAAATTAGCAACACTGTGCTTCAGTTGAAATAAGTTTAGGGAACATTTTTTAAATTGTTTTCAGAGTATATCTTCGTGTTTGCACTGATTTTGCTTGGGTAACGCTTACCTCGCCGTTAGCGTTGTCCTCTGGCTTGTGTTCTCCATGCTTGTCACCCTAAAATAATATGGTTAGGAATATTTGCCTTTTAGATAAAATTTCTGATTTATGTAAGAGAGACGCGAGGTAAAAGGGTTTTTCCTAAAATTTGGTGTTACGCACAAAAACAAATCAACAGCATAGACTTCCGTTGGAATACATTTAATAGACCTTGTTTGAATTGTGGTTTAGAATATAACTTCGTGTTGTCTGCACTGATTTTGATTATGTAGTTCCTACCTCGCCTTTACAAGTCTCATCATAGTTTTCTTTTCCGGTCACGTCTTCCTGAAATGATATTGTTTGGAATATTTGCTTTTATATAAAATGTTTATATTATGTAAAGAGGCGCGAAGTAGAAGCGTTTTTGCTAGATGGTGTTTTGCATAAAAACAAATCAACAGCGGTGCTTCCATCAAAATTCATTTGAGGAATCGCGTTTACGTTGTGCTCAAGAATGCATCGTGCACTGATTTTGATTTTGTGACGCCTACCTCGCTTTCACTGGTCTCATCTGAGTTTTGTTTTCCATTCTGGCAACCCTAAAATAATAAGGATTATCCGTTATATCTTTGAAAAGACCTAATTCAGCCTTAGGTAAAGTTAAAAGTCTTGGAAACTCCGTATGCATTACACAAAAATCTCCATACGCAATTTAAGCTAACCCAAATCTGGTAGATGAAAGTATATCAGAATTTAACCAACATTGCAATTTTTTTTGTACATCTACGATCGCTCGAGTAGTCCCAGGTAATGTTCATATTTTCTGTCAGATTAGGGTGTCTATGGTGCATACAAATAAAGCAAACCTTTTTCTTCTTTAGTCTTTCCTTGATATTCTCCAGCTTGTCTTTTAGTTTTTTAGCCTTTTTTCCAAAAGCTCCCATTATCTAGAACAGTTTCACATTTGCTTGCTTCAAACAATAGATCCAATACACAATAAGGTAGGTTGAACTCTAATTTCCTAATTTCAAACTTTCGTTTCTACTTTTAGGCACTCGGCTTTGCAAAGGAGGTGAGCTCACATCGCCTCAGATACTATGAATTTTGGATTTTTGAGCGCAATGAGCAAAGAAATCACTGGCAGATACAAAGACTCAAGAGGTTTTGAACTGAATACGGGAAAGTGTGTTAGTACAATTAACTAAAAAAGCATACCCCATTCTTACCGGTCCTTTTGGGATGAGGCTTCTCTGAAGTTCCATTCTGAAATTAGTGGGCTCAACAGACAAAATACCTACTCGAGGTTTTGATTACAATTTCTGAAGATGGATTAGTCCGAAACATTGTGAAACACATTTGGACACTTGGCTTTTGTGAAATTCTTCAGTTATAATAGGTTGTCCCATAAGTCTTTTCATTTTTGAGTTTTCACTGTAATAATTCATAACTTTTTATTCTAATTAGACAATAGGACACTATTCGTTAAAGCAGAGCAAGCTCTACGAGATGGCGTTTCTGCTTTTGCACTAGCTTTGATTGACCTCAATTTTGAAACCAAAATCTAAAGTGTTTCAAATGCCCAAAAAATTGAAAATATTTTATATCTTTGTTCAAAAAAGTCCTGCAAACCTCTCGCTCGCTCACGCATATTCACTCCACATCAGACACTTGCATGTGCTGTTGATGTATTTTTTTTATTGGTTAGAAATCAGGAAACCGAAAATTTCTATATTTTCATCAAAGTGATGCTGTGCTGTTCTTGCACTAACAGCTGTATACTATGAGCCCTTAGCAGTGCAGTCGCAATGCTTTAGCTCTCTATAAGCTGTAGTTCCCAAGACATCAAATTTAGTTTTCCTCATTTGGATTTTTCATGCTTAACTCACCATTTCTCGGAAACCAAAGCTTATAGAGAGCTAAAAATTTACAGTTGCACTTAGAAGGGCTTGTAGTATACAACTGTTAGTGTAAGAACAGCACAGCATCACTTTGGTGAAAACATGGAAATTTTCGGTCCCCTGATTTCTAGCCAATAAAAAAATACAGCAACAGCACATATGAGTGTCTGATGTGGAGTGTATAAGCGTGAGCGAAGAGGTTTACAAGATTTTTCTGAACGAAGATATAAAAAATTTTAAATCTTTTGGGCATCCGAAACTCTCCAGATTTTGGTTTCAAACTTGAGCTGACCGAAGCTGGTGCAAAAGCATAAACGCCATCTTATAGAGCTTGCTTTGCTCCATCGAATGGTATCCTAATGTCTATTTAGAATAGGAAGTGTATGAATTATTACAGCGGAAACTCGAAAATGAAAAGACTTATGGGACAACCTAATAGTTTTGGTGGTCCCACCTCCAAACCTGGGCACTGCAGATATACTTAAATGCTTTTGTGCCGTCTTCTCGTCTTTCTCAGAGGCCTGAACGTAGCTTAAAGTGTTACCTATGAAGCGAGACCAAGCACCATCTCTATTCTCTTTATTTTCCGTCTTTCGTTCAACTATTCTACCGCAATTTCTGCCATGCCAGAAGATGAAAATACCCTATGTGAGCATTGTTGTTTGAGTTTCTTCACCGGAAGTGATGGTCATGGCGGATGGAATGGAGTGTACATAATTGCACACAAGATATGATCTACATTCTAAATTATGATATGAATGAAATGAAATCTACGGTGACTCATAAACACTAGTTTTTATTGTTTACTGCTGGATTCTCTGCAGATATCAGAATGTTTCAAAAGGCTTCGTAGCCGAATTTTCCTTTTCGTGTTCCAAATTTGACATTTGGTGATGAAATCGTTCTCACATGCAAACATAAAAAACTTTGTTCTCACGTCTTGTTAAGCGTAGTAACCAATCACATGGTGGGAACAATCTTGTTATCAAATGTCAATTTTTGGTGCCCGAAAAGGAAACCTCATTTAGGAAGGCCTTTTGGATTTTTGCAAAGACTCAGATAATCGCCGGGGGCACGCGGTCCGCAAACTCGCGCTTTTCTGCAGGCGGTCAGCAGGATTTCGGGGCGTGGCCAAATCTTCAGCGGGCGGTATTTGCGTTTTCTGCAAGCGGGCATCAATACAAAATTTTCTGCAAGCGCTCGTCAAACAATCTCTTTCAGCGAACGCTGGCCCAACTTTCAGCAGGCGCTCAGACTCTTTTTACGCAGTTTCGGGCGTACGCCGAGAAAAGATGAGACTCTATGTGGCAGAGGTGCCATCGATGGTTTTATTACCCAAGTTTGGGGTACTTTCTTTCAGCGGAAAGTACCTGAGGGCTGTGCGGTCCTTTAAAAAGGACCGTGCGGCTCTCAATAATTTTGCATGTTCTCGCGGAAAATCCGCGAGAATGCGGCCACTGTGCCGCAACTTATGTATAGAGAAACCGCGATAGATCTTCGAGCGTTCATCTAAAAATTGGCCAAAATTATTCCAAATTTCTGCAAGCGGACCACAAAAAATCAGCGAACTATTTTTCCGGTGCCCGCTTGCTCAAAATTCGCATGGCCGCTTGCCCCCGGCGATTATCTGAGGAACCCAGCAATGAACACTAAACATCAATACGACCGCTTATCGGTTGCCGAGTTCTTGATTGAAATCACTATTCAAACTGTAGATCTACGTTCATTTATAATACGGTCCATGGACGTTACATCCCATAGTTAGCACTTTGAGCTATGAACCCTCTGAGGAAGACGGAAAGGCGTTGAAACGTTAGGCCGTTGTTGGAGAGAATAACACCTACAAACCTGTCCGGCACAGAAGCGTTAGGAACATCTTCGCTTATTTATAAACTGAATCAAAGAGTGAGACTGCTGTTTCATATATGTTCTAATGTTGATTGGGTAACACCTACCTCGCCTTTACCGGTGTTATCTGGCTTTTGCTTTTCAGTCTCGTCACCCTAAAACAATGTGGTTTGGAATGATTGTTTTCACATCGCGCTTCCGTTAAAATAAATTCAAGGAGCAACTGTGTTTAGAATATGCTCTTGAATATATTCCTTACACTGATTTTGATTGGCTAACACCTACCTCGCCTTCACCGGTGTTTGGCTTTTCTTCTTTGATCTCGCCGCTCTGAAATAATATTGACGGGATATTTGAATTTGAATAAAATTTTTGTTTCACGTAAAAGTGGTGCGAGGTAAAAAGGTTTCACTAGCATTCGTTATCAAGCATGAAAAACAAATCAACAGCACTGTCTTTCCGTGGAAATAAATTTAAGGAACATCCGTGTTTAGAATGTGCTTTAAAATATAACTTCGTGTTTGCAATGATTTTGCTTGGTTATCACCTACCTCGTCTTTAACGGTGTCAGGTGGCTTTTCTTCTTTGTTCTCGCCACTCTGAAATAATATTGACGGGATATTTGATTTTGAATAAAATTTTTGTTTCACGTAAAAGTGGTGCGAAGTAAAAAGGTTTTTACTAGTATTTGTTGTCAATCATGAAAAACAAATCAACAACACTGTACTTCCGTCGAAACACTGTGCTTTAGAATATATTCTCGTGTTTGCACTGACCTTGATTCGTTAATACCTACCTCGTCTTTAACGGTGTTATCTGGCTTTTGCTTTTCAGTCTCGTCACCCTAAAACAATGTGGTTTGGAATGATTGTTTTCACATCGCGCTTCCGTTTTAATAAATTCAAGGAGCAACTGTGTTTAGAATATGCTCTTGAATATATTCCTTACACTGATTTTGATGGGCTAACACCTACCTCGCCTTCACCGGTGTTTGGCTTTTCTTCTTTGATCTCGCCGCTCTGAAAAAATATTGACGGGATATCAGTAAGTAGATCAAAAGCTCTCTTATCTTTGAACCTGGGCATTTTGATATGTGCCAGTAAATGACTGTTGTGCCGAAACCAGGTTTCTTGGTGGATGTTTATTCGATCGACGTTTCGACGGGCTCGTCTTTTTCAAGAGGTCTTAACTCCACCGCATACCAGTAAGTCCGCACAGTGGGAGACAATAGCGGACGTCCGCTATTGTCCCATTGTGCGGACTTATTACTGGTATGCGGTGGAGTTAAGACCTCTTGAAAAAGACGAGCCCGTCGAAACGTCGGTCGAATAAACATCCACCAAGAAACCTGGTTTCGGCACAACAGTCATTTACTGACACATTGACGGGATGTTTGATTTTGAATAAAATTTTTGTTTCACGTAAAAGTGGTGAGAAGTAAAAAGGTTTCACTAGCATTCGTTGCCAAGCATGAGAAACAAATCAACAACACTGTTTTTTCGTGGAAATAAATTCAAGGAACATCCGTGTTTAGAATGTGCTTTAGGATATAACTCGTGTTTGCAATGATTTTGCTTGGCTAACACCTACCTCGTCTTTAACGGTGTCAGGTGGCTTTTCTTCTTTGTTCTCGCCATTCTGAAATAATATTAGCGGGATATTTGATTTTGAATGAAATTTTGTTTTCCGTGAAAGTGGTGCGAAGTAAAAGGTTTACTGGCATTTGATGTTAAGCATGAAAAGTCAAAAACATTGTGCTTCCGTCGAAAGAATGTGCTCTAGACTATCTCGTGTTTGCACTGATTTTGATTGGCTAATGCTTACCTCGTCTTCATCGGTGTCATTTGGCTCTTCTTTTTTGATCTTGCCACTCTGAAATAAAATTGTTGGGATATTTGACTTTCGAATGAATTTTTGTTCCACATAAAAGTAGTGCAAAGCAAAAATATTTCTAGTAGCATATTTTGCCAAGCATAAAACGCGAATCAACAACACGTGCTTCCGTGGAAATAAATTCAAGGAGCATCCGTGTTTAGACTGTGCTCTAGAATTTATTTTCGTGTCTGCGCTAATTTTGATTGGGTAACACCTACCTCGCCGTTACCAGTGTCATCTACTTGTTTTCCAGGCTGGTCAGCCTGAAATAATATGGTTTTGAGTACTTGCTTTTCATTGAAATTTGTATTTCACTCAAAAATGGTGCAAAGTAAAAGAGTTTCGACTGGATTTGGTGTTAAGGCTGAAAAACCACTATGCTTCAGTTGAAATACATTCAAGGAGCATTGTCTAAATGTTCCCTTGAACGATCAGGCTTCGAGAACGTTTCTTTAATTCTAGTACCTCAGAGAATCCAGAAGAAATTTTTTCGGCCAGTACAGAGAGCATTTTTTGGATTGTCGGATCCCTATTGAGCTCGGAGATCGATCTGATCAGGTCATGGACTGACATAGCACTGAACTCATTCTCATTCAACTTTTGATTTCCAGTCTGGTCACCCTGAAGTAATATGTTTTTGGATATTTGCTTTTCAAATGAAATCGTTGTTTCACTTAAAAGTGGTCGAAGTAAAAAAAGTTTCGACTAGATTTGGTGTTAAGCATGGAAAACAAATCGACAACATTGTGCTTCAATTGAAATAAATCCAAGGAACACTGTTTAAATTGTGCTATAGAATATATCTTCATGTTTGCGCTGATTTTGATTGGGTGACACCTACCTCGCTTTTACTGGTCTCATCTTGGTTTTCTTTTCTACTCTCGTCTTCCTGAAATAATATGGTTTGAAATTTTTGCTTTTCAAATGATTTGTTGCACGTAGAGGTGATGCGAATTAAAGAGGTTTCTACTAGCATTGGGTGTTAATCATGGAAAACAAATTAACAACACTGTTACAATGGATACAGTTTGTCTTCTCCAGTTTTTCTCCCTCTTTGCCTATACCATAGATTCTGCTTCAAATAACCATCAAACTATGAAATTACGAGCCAGCCAAAATTTTTGTCTCACTTTTAGCTCAAACTGGTCGTGCTTCCAGCAACTACTGCTCAAAAGAAAGAAGACGAATCCAGCATTAATCACTTCCCTCTCAGTCACAAAAACTACGAAATTTTGGCTATCGAACTGTATATGATTCGTTCGCTAAAATTCTCGTTGAAGGTAGGTTAATAAGGTATAGTATAACTCCCAAAACGCTGTGGCTGCCACACTTTCTTGGAGGGGGGGGGGGTCCACACCCCATAAACTTACCTTCAAAGCATTCAAACATATGAGTTTTTATATCGTTGCCTTTTCCTTTGCACAGCGGGAATCCCGTGCAAAATCGTTTTTCTAGCAAAAAATATAGACGTATTTCCTTATCTATGCAAGTGGAAAACATGCAAAATTATTTGGTTACGTTAACATGCTAAGTTTGCGCTACTACGTAATCGCGTGGAGAGGCGGAGAGAGTAAATATATGCAACGGCCTGTGTCGCGGATTGCGCGACTTCCTTATAGGGAGTTTGCCACCGCAAAGCGATGGGTTCTAAAACGCCAGTCCTCGCGCTGCCCCGCCTCTCGTTCCCACGTTCAACTTCGCATAAGTCACGCATTCTCCCACACTTGTCTAGCAGCGAGCGGCCGACTACCTCAACTGTCTATCGATCAATCAAGCAGCGCACTCTTCCGATCCAGCGATGTTCAACACCTGCACGCTTGGAGGACTGGCAACTGCACCGAGGTAACCCGGCTGTGTGCTTCTTTCTTGCCGCAGGGCTGAGGAGCCACTTCGCGGGGGGTTTCCTTTTTACCGACCCCTAGGTGAGATCTTGGCCGGTGTGTACTCTGCCCATTGTACTGAGTTGCTTGTGTGTTTGGTTCAATTAGGGATAAATGGTGGGCACATGGAACTGTGGTGTTTTGACTTTTGTGGTAGCCAAAGGCTCAGACCTTGGCACATTATATCTGTATGCTGTTTGTGTTCCTTGTATACTTGTCTCGAAGGGTTCCATCAGTCAGAAGGACAGGCACGATCCTAGGCAGTGTCTAAGTTGCAAGTGATCCACAATTTTCCGTGTGTGAGCAGCTTGGGAAGGCTGGCAGTAGGTATTAGGGGGTTGGTTGCTAGCCTAGGGCCTCTAACTCGTAGTGCGTTGTGCTCGTGGCAGGCCATAATAGCGTGGCGCAAGTAGCTACCGTTCCCCCAAGTGTCGTTGTTCTATCTCACGGATGGAGTCCTCCGCTCCTGTCGCCGATGCAGGAGAGCACGTTACCACTGACGTCTGGAGCGGGGGACCCCAATCCGCGACATGGTGCATCGAGACGAAGTTAGCCATAGGGATAGTAAACCTATGTCTAGCTTTTGCGATCGGACCTTACTTGCGTATGCCCGCACACACGCTCATTACGCATTGGCGTCCCTAGCTAGCAACGCAAATTCTAATCTTATTCCCCATTTCAGGTGCTTGTACAGTGTATACATATTTGTGCTTTTTGTTTCTTCATTAGATCACATCCATCGTGCAGTAGGCGGATCCGATGAGACTGGGCTGACGCGAGTGAGCGACTACCGCCACTACTACACTTAGCTGAGAGTAGGGTGATCCCTCACATGCCTTGAGTGGCACAAGCCGTGTGATATCTGCCTATTGTCCGTGCTGCCGGTGCCCTCTGGTGACCAGGTTTTTCTGCAGACATCGAGGCCCTTGGTAGGCACTAGCTCTGTCCGCCTTGAAACACGTCATCAGGCCTGCGGAGGAATCGCCTGCTGTGATCTTGGATGGGTATCTCCCCTAAAACTTACAGCCACCACATTTATGCTCGCATTTTGCAGCCACCTACTTCTAACGGGATGTCTCAATGTCAGTTGTGTCAAACCGCTTAGTTCCCTGCGTTTCTTGTGGTAAAACCCGCCTATTCCCTGCTTGCAATCTCGCTGTTCTATCATGTGACATCTAGCATTGCCAGTATAAGGTCTTTGTTTATTGCTTATCACTTGTCATTCGCTTACGTTCGTTGTGTTCACCATTCGTGCCGCTACATCCGGAAGTAGTAGCACACCCCTTTTTGACGTATCCACACATTACAATTTCAAAATTTGGGTTTACAGTAATCGCCTCCTGCCAGTTGCCAAGTGCAAAGCTATTGATCGATATGACGACAGTCGCAAACTATATCCCCAGAGTCATCAAAGCCATCGAGGACCTGGACGTCGCTGGGAAGCAAGTAAGTTCCGAGTTACTTACTCCCCTAGCACACGACGCTCCTGCTAGTGAGCAGTTCTAACAGCTCCAATAGAGACAAGCATCAGCGCGACTCCATATTGCTTGTTTGAAATCTCAACTCTCGTTAATCCTTGAACGCCGAGATACGCTTCTGAATCACGTTACTACATCCGAATTGACTGCGGATCAGATTGCGTACGACAAGTTTGTTGAGGAGTTTAGCGTCGATCAACATCAGGCGGATGCGGAAACTCTCCTTCGAATCTTGAAGAATACGTTTGTAGCGGATAATGTGCAGTTCAATCTCGTATTCGTGGACTCGCCAATTCCATCAGCAAGGATAGCGATGCCGCAGTATTGAAAGTTGCGACTCCACAGCACCATCATCGGTGCCTAGTCCTCCTAGGGTTCAGTAGAACCCTCCCGCATTTTGCTTCTGTGATTCTTTCGGTCATCCTTCTTGTCGATGTGATCAGCGAATGCTGACAAGTACGCCAGGCAAGATTGTGCAGTTCTACGGATTATGCTGGAAGTGCTTGCGAGACGATCATCGCCAGGATTAATACGAATATTCTACCTGTAGGAATTGCGGAAGTCTCACAATCGACTACTCTGTACGCGTGCGTCCAGAAGAAGTCGATCCCCAAGAGCCAGAACGAGTAATCGTGGATCACGACCAGCTGCGAGAACTCATCATTCCTCTAAAGACTCCTCTGTATCGAGAAGTCCAGCAAGGGATAGCAGAAGATCTCGAGATTACTCTCGTACTTTCAATTGCGTGAACAGAGAGGTTACCGTAGCGGATCGAGTTCCAATTCTCAATCTGATTCTCGTTCCCCATCTCCACGAGTTCGTTTCGACGTACCCGTGCGAGACACTTCAGGTTATTCGCCTTCCCCGAAACGTCGAAGAAGACCAAGGTCAAAATCTCCATACCCGGCACAAACAAGATCGAGTAGACAACCGTTGGTGCACTTGGATACGGAATACCAAGATTACATACTTTTTACGATCGCCTAAGGCATTGAATTCGTCAAGACAACTGGAGGAGATAGCACTCCTACTGGATTCCGGAGCACAAACGAGCTTCATCACCAAGTCTACAGCTGCCCGGTTAGGTCTTCGCGTATACGATCATGCGCCCATTACTTTGACGACCTTCGGAGGAAATGACATCACGGAAGTTTCAGGAAAGGTGGATCTCACACTTGTCGACTGGTTCGACAAGCAGTTATAGTCTTTGTTCGTACTAAGGATCAATTTATCCCTGATACATGTGCTCCACGGCTATCCACAGAAGACATCGAGTTCATCAAACAGTGCGGATTCGATCCCCCAGCGTACAACGATGCCGCGAAAGTTTATGTCAGCGTCCTTATAGGACCCCTTTTTTCGCAAGTCTGCCCCGTTTCAACATCCACCGGGAGCGACAAGACAACAGAAGGGAATGAAGTCGAAGACATCGTTGCCAGATTGTGGCAATTAGAGCGCTTGAGTATCAAAGATGATCCACATGACGACAGAGACACTATCCACAATTCTCTTATTCTTATACTTTAAAGACATCGCATATTTCGAGAATGGTTCCTTTACGTACAGTTTCCTTGGAAGAAGTCACATCCCCAACTAGGCGACAATAAACAGTTAGCTTGTTGCCGACTAGTCAGTCAGTACCAGGAGTTACGCGAACAGCCGTCGGTATGGAAGGATCATTGTCTAACTAGAACAACATCTACAACTAGGCTTTATCGAGGAAGTAAACGAACACGTTACAGATAATCATCTCGCTTACTACATCCCGGATCAAGCCGTCTTCAAGGAGTTCTCAGCTACCACCAAGCTGAGAATAGTATCCGATGCTTCTTCGCGCATGATAGAATTTCCGAGTTTGAACGACTGCCTCCATGAAAGACCATCTTTGTAGCCGGAGATAGAGGAATTCAACTCCGTGTAAGCCTATACAAGCATCTTCTCATCGCCGACGTGGAAAAAGCGTTCCATCAGGTTCGACTTCGAGATGTGGCACGTTTCCTGTGGTTGAACGATGTAAACAGACTTCCAGACAAGGATAACTTGCGTTACTTTCGTTTTACGAGGATCCCATTCGGTGTCAAATCATCCCCCATTTGTATTGGTCGCGTCCATTAGAATCTATCTTTGCCACATGAGCTCACCTCTTCATATAGAGATTGAGCGACATACTATGTGGACAACGTCATCCTAGGTGCTTCTTCGCATGACGAAGCTCTGCAGAAGTACAGGACAACAAGTCCATACTCGACCACATGCACATGAATTGAGAGAGTTCTTGTGCTCATCGAGGATAGTTAATGAACAGATAGACCCAAGGACCGTGCCAAGGAACCAGACCACACGAAGCTATTGGGAATCACGTGGTCGCATGAACGGGATACATTTGCTATACCTATTAGGACCCTGGAGTACCCAGCAGTTTCCAAACGCACAGCTCTTAGAGCCTATGCATCCACATACGATTCTCTAGGACTTCTGACTCCTTTTACAGTTCCTTTTAAGCTATTTGTACAGGATCTGTGGATCAAGAAGCTTGGATGGGACGATCAGTTGGATAAGGAAGTGCAAAAGGAGTGGCAACGCATCTGTCAGAACGTACAGGGTCCGTTACCGCCCCTTCCTAGACGAGTAACCACACGCAGCGCGCATACATTCGATTTGTGCATCTTGGGAGATGCTTCCAAACGAGTGTTTGCTGCTTGCGCATATTTGGTAAGCCGAGTTCACAATACGACTACTTCACACCTCATTATGGCAAATCACACCTCAACGAGCCTACGCCAATTACCATACCAAGGAAGGATGGAATTATTGGCAGCCAGAAGCTGTGTCTCTCTAGCCGATTACCTGCAAAAAGAACTGGACCTTAAGATCTCGTCCATTCACATATTTCAGACTCCCTAATGTGCTCTCTTCAATACATTTCACCAGGCCATGGAGACGATTCGTCCATAATCGAGTAACTTTCATTCGTAAGACCATTAAACAGCTTCGAGATTTAGGAATCGACGTCAAGTTCCACCATGCTTCCGAGGACAATCCAGCGGATCATGCTACACGTGGTTTAGCGACGAAGGAAGCTGCGGATCATGTTTAGTGGACAAAACCATCGTTCATTCGTCGACCTCCTAAAGATTGGCCTAACACCGATATGGACTTTACGATTCCGCCCGTAACAACGTCGGAACAGGATAAGGAGTTCACACAGGTATCATTGGTTAGAGATGATTCACATGTTTTGGTTATTCCATTCTTTGCCACGAACGGTTACATGAAGCTTCTGCGGACCATTTACATCCTTCGATTTTTGCGACGTAGGGTTGTCGAACGTCTCACATTCGCGAGTAAACAACCTCTCCACAAGGCAATTCCAAATTTATCTCAACTTCGCTCGCCGGTCATATTATGGTACATGACATTGCCTTAATCGAGAACTTGGTTATTCGCGAACACGATCGTGAATCGAGTCATCTCTTGGAACGTTTTCGACTCCAGCGATTCAACGTGCATTGTGACGAAAACGGACTAATAAGATGTCCTGCTCGTATGGAAAAGGCTTATCGCACAGCACCCATACTACTGGTGCCATCCCACAGGCTAACTTCTCTCATTGTACTTCATAACCACATTACGTCTTACCATCAAGGCACTTATGGGACGATAGCGCAATTGTGCTGACGCCTTTTTACTGGTTCTTGCTCTACTCAGGATTTCCTACTAGCTTTTCGGAAATTGATCGGACGACGAGGAACACCAGATGTCATTTATACTGACAACGCGAGTAGATTCCATGCAGCAGAAGATGCCATTAACAACTTATCCTTTGCTCCCCACTCTAGCAATGATATCTACGACTTTGTCACTCATCATAGGGTCACTTGGAAGTTCATTACTCAAGTCTCCCCCTGGAAAGGAGGTTTCTATGAGAGACTAGTTGCCCTGTTTAAGTCCGCGTTCAAGAAGACTGTAGGAAAGTCGAGACTGACATGGGAACAGCTGCGAACGATAGTTGTGGAGATAGAAGCCGTCATTAACTCTCGCCCTATAACACCTTATAGAGAAAAGGACGTCTCTTTCCGCATCTTGCGACCAGTCGACTTCATTTCGCCGGAAGTCAGTCTACAACTACCCTCGCAAGAACACGATTACGACATTGCTGTCGATGGACACAGACTAGCAGAGTGGTATAGGGAAACCCAAGTTCTCCTAGATTCTTTCTGGGAAGTGTGGCGTACTGATTACCTCTCTACCCTTATCCAACGCCATCAATGCCGTTTACGCCAGCCGACATATACGACTGAACATCCAAAAAACGATTTCGTGATAACTGCGAAGGACAGTGTGCCCAGAGGACAATGGAATATGGGAATTGTGATTCGACTATGTGGGAGTAATCATGATAGCGTGAGAGTAGCAAGAGGTACGAGTGCCAAATGGAAACATCCTCAAGAGGCCTCTATCTAGGCTATATCCCTTGGAAATCCGCGCGAAAGATGATTATACACCTATAGTTGAGCATAAAAGAACGTCTCATAGACGTAAACCTTCCACATCGCCTACGCGGATACAGCCTCCTCGAAAGGCCAAGTCTTTATCCCCATTTGCACGTCATCATTGACGCGCTTCATTCCACAAGCGACGTTTGTGTGCAGCATGTATCTTTATCATGCTCTAGTCACATGCGTTGCAGTCGCAAGCGCGGTCATTATCGCGCTCCTCATATGCCTGAGGGAGAGACTGGTCCCGCCACGAATGGAAGATAGCCAGCGTGTGCAATGAATTGCATCATGCAATTGCGGCTCCAGATGGTTTTTTCTCGTTTTCGCGCTATGTGTTCTTCATTTATCTGTTTCTTTCTTGTTTTTGTCTTCTCGTCACTCTTTTGTGAGCCACATCTATCCTCTATATCTCATTTATCCTGATTTTTCGTCTTTCTCTTCCTTTCAACACAGAAACATGCGTGGCTCATACTTTTTGGATATTCCTTTCTAATCTTTCTTTTATTCACTCTCATTTCATTCTATCATTCTTTCCTTTGTCTTTCTGTTAATTGTGTAACGGTGCATTGTGGAACTAACATCTTCACATGTGTCCATTCCGTCTACACATGTAGATTTCTTGTTTCGTCAATATTGATTATTGCGAAATCCACATTTGACTCTTGTGTTCACACTTGTTTAACTTGACCTCACATGTCATAACTTAATAACCGCATGCTACTAACACAAATCACCTTATCCCCAACTCACATTCTCTCTTTCTTCTTTTATTGTCACTTGTGCTTCTAATTTCTTGCTTCTTTCTCATCCCTTTCATTCTCATTCTCTTTACTAACCTTAAGTGAGTTCGTTGTGCTTACGTGCGATGTGCTCTCTTACTCCTATCATCCCCCATTCTTTCAGGGTAAAGCGATAACGAGTAGACTGACCATCTACAGCGATGACAATCTGGAAAACTAAGACTAGGCGAGGAGAGCCGGTGAGGAAGTCGGAGAGTCTGCTACAACATCGCGGACAGGAACGATCTCGTTCGAGATCGCGGTCGCGGTCGCCGTCGCAGTCGCCACGGAGAGAGCCGGGTGAGAAAGAGAAGCTGAGCGAAAGCTCGGTGGATCCTTCTCTCTTGGCTGAAGTGATTCGTGAGCTTGCCGTCGTGCGAGCACAGGAGCCGTCACGTCCCCCAGAGGTACTGCCCTCAGCTGACCTTTCGCAGGATCCGTCGCCGAACATCAATGATCCCCACACTCGTGCGCCCACAGTGCTCGAGCTAATTTTAGGGATTGCGAAAGGACACAACGTCAATAGACGATTCAGCTGCGATGATGACAATGATACCCAAGCCTTCGCGGTACCGAGGACGTATAGACCAGCACTGCAGCTACTCCACCAGCTGACAGTAGCTCTCTCCCCAGCACGCGTGTTTAGTCCCACGCAGCTGGGCCACAGCGACTTCGTCGCCATTGACGCCTTTCTTCACGACGACCTCTTTGGACATATCCGAAGCATATTCACTAAGGAGATATATCCAACGAAGGCGGACGATCTACAAGGCGCGAAAGCCGAACATCTGCCTGCGCTACTGATCTCAGGCCATCTTAATGGAGTCGTTGAACTTACTGCACAAGCCACAAGTTACTTACAGGAGTTAGCTCATAGGCCGCAACCGAATCCTGACGCTTTGTTGGATCGCAAGGCTGATCTTTTCCATTATATTCATAACATCAATTACAGACGCCAGGCGGTTTCAACACAGCTTACAGCGATTCTGTTTACGCCGGTTGATGAACTCCAGCGTAAGCTGAACTTGTTGGCCACTTATGGCGTAACCTTGGAGAAGATCGTATCCAACAATTATGCCGCAGCGCAGCCGTAGCCCAGATGGTGAAGGCCCGCGATACGTATCACGACGTCCTGAAGGAACATCTATTGACCAGGAACGTTGGCCAGAGTACATCGGTAGTCCCCAGTGCGACAGCACAGAAAGTGGTTCAGCAAGCGATTGCAGCTGCGCCACCGCCGTCGGGGGCTAAGGCGAAACCGCCTCAGGCTGAGCCTCAATCGACGACGTCGAATCCACAGCAGTCAAGTTCTCAACATTCACTTGATCAGACAGCTCAACTGCCATCAGCATCCACAGCACACTTCGATCCGGAACCAAGAAGTTTCGCCAATCGTGAGGTTTCGGCAGCGTTGTCAGCACCTTCTCCTCCTCCCCGACAGCCCCCCAGGATGGGGCCCTACAGCCCATTCCACGGGAGCGTCGGGAGCATCGTGAGGAGCCTATGGAAGTGGTCCCGGTCGAAGTGGGCTATCGGGAGCCTGAGGACCAGCGTAGAGGTCAGCAACTGGAAGAGACACACGTCCACTGCTACTTCTGCAGACAACGTCACTTCTCGTCGGGTTGTCCGGTGTATCGACATCTATCGCAGAAGATGGAGATCAATGCAAGGCGCGGAGGGGGTTTTCTTTGTTGCGACCGACACGCTGAGGAAGAATGTCCCTTTCGTGGAAGGAGATGCAGAGGATGTAGGTCCAAGCACCACGAGACATCCTTCTGCTTCAACAACCGCCATGGGATCAACGACATCGATCCAGAGGACTATCGCCTGCGCTTAGAGCAGTATAAGGCCTTGGCGGAACTACGGCGTAGAGGGGACAGGGCGCCCAGAGAGCCCCCCAGGTAAGTTTGTTTTTTGTTGTTTCTACCCTATGTTACTTTCTTTCCACAACTTGCGATTTTTTTAGTGAGCCTTAAGCTCACTCTTTTATTTTGTCGTCAACTTTGCTTTAGGGTGACTGGTGACTGGTGGGGCACTCATGGGGAGTGCCATGGGTTTTTGCTGTTTGCCACAATGAACTTGTCAAGGACTTGCCCACAATTTACGGTCTTTTAGTTTCTACCTTTGTTTTATCGTTTTGTTTTCAGTTTTTGTTTCTCGGCGAGCCTTAAGTTCGCCACCCCTTTTTATTGCTAACCTTGATTCAGGCTAGCTGCAGTGTCCACATTTTGCGTTCGTCCACAACTGTCGGGTTTTGGGGCCACGGTGGGAGACCGTGTTGACTGTTTTTTGCTTTTTGGGATTCCCCTTCTTTTGAACTTGACTTGACCCAGGGTTCTTTTGAGTTGTGAGGAAAATCTCCCCCTCACTGTCTAAATTCTTTCCCCTTGGCGTGAAAAACCGCGCCCGTAGGCTAAATTAGAACTCTTGAGTCGTCGTCACCTGCCGTTCAGTCTATGTCGAGCCGCTGTAAGTCACGCATCAAGAAGATCCACGTCAACGTCAAGTCATGGTCGAATGGTCAGATGCCGATACCACAACTCTCGTCAACGTCGCCGATTCCAATCGCCGTCAACACAAGTGCCGTTCCACAACTGCCGAAAGACCCACCAGAAGTCCCGACGTAGAGCCTCCGACGACTCTTCATGCCATCCCGTGAGACAACCGGCTGTCACTACGACACGCGGTAGGCCAGCGCGCGTACTAGGGTTACTTTTACTCGTAGTTATGTGTGTACGTTTAACTCGTAGTCGTAGGTAAGGTGGTAGACTGGAGCCTACCTCGGAACCTTTTTCTGTCGCCCGGAGTGTCGCGGATTGCGCGACACTCCGGGCGACAGAAAAAGGTTCCGAGGTAGGCGACTTCCTTATAGGGAGTTTGCCACCGCAAAGCAATGGGTTCTAAAACGCCAGTCCTCGCGCTGCCCCGCCTCGTTCCCACGTTCAACTTCGCATAAGTCACGCATTCTCCCACACTTGTCTAGCAGCGAGCGGCCGACTACCTCAACTGTCTATCGATCAATCAAGCAGCGCACTCTTCCGATCCAGCGATGTTCAACACCTGCACGCTTGGAGGACTGGCAACTGCACCGAGGTAACCCGGCTGTGTGCTTCTTTCTTGCCGCAGGGCTGAGGAGCCACTTCGCGGGGGGTTTCCTTTTTACCGACCCCTAGGTGAGATCTTGGCCGGTGTGTACTCTGCCCATTGTACTGAGTTGCTTGTGTGTTTGGTTCAATTAGGGATAAATGGTGGGCACATGGAACTGTGGTGTTTTGACTTTTGTGGTAGCCAAAGGCTCAGACCTTGGCACATTATATCTGTATGCTGTTTGTGTTCCTTGTTCCCCCAAGTGTCGTTGTTCTATCTCACGGATGGAGTCCTCCGCTCCTGTCGCCGATGCAGGAGAGCACGTTACCACTGACGTCTGGAGCGGGGGACCCCAATCCGCGACAGCCTGGAAATTGTAACTTTCACAAAAGTGACTTGAGCCTGAGTTCTTTTCTAGTCTGAGCGGAAAATGAAGCAAACCACATTTTGGCTAGCCCCAATTCCATAGTTTTTATTTTGAGGTGGAATTTCTAATATGGACAGGAATTAGTAGTTTTTTTGTATCCAGCGCAAAAAGAAGTAGTTAACTCACCTGTGAAACAAAATTAACAATGCTCGAAAATGACCATCTCACTTGGATGGCCTAATATTTGGAAACCTTAGAATTCGCTGAAACTTGTTCCACAGTGATTAAACATGCTGATTACGAAAAATAATACTCTTATGCTTCTAGGGCTCCTTATGATTACCGCTTTTGGCCCAGAATCGCATACCTTACGTATGTATTCTAGGCCAAAACATCAA